TTCCATTTTATGTTGTGTAAGGGTTTAAGTTATAAACATTTGAGGTCCTCAGAATAAACTCAAAGGAAATTCTAGCTACAGAACACTTAGGTTTATACAGTTGGGACCAAAATAAAAAAAGAAAAATCCTTTAGTCAAAAAACCTACATCTAGCACAGATCACTGGTAGGTAAAATGACACATAGCATAGGCATTCAGCATAGCTGAATGTTCCTTCCCCAATTAGTAAACAGTAAATGGAGAAAAAAATATGACCTGATAAAGTGGCTCTGTTCTTGTTATAAGGATTTCCTCACTCCTCTTAAAAGCGGAAAAAAGTAGCTGGGTGCAGCAGGTATGCCTGTAATCCCAGCGACTCAGGAGGAATAGGCAGGATTCTTGAGGCCCAAAGCAATTTAGCAAGACTCTGACTCAAAATAAAAATTAAAAAAGAAAAGGGCTGGAGATGTGGCTCAGTGGTTAAGTGCCCTTGGGTTCAATACCCAGTACCAAAAAAAAAAAAAAAAAGTGGGAGAAAGTCCCCAAGAGAATTTCAAAAGCAATATGGTGTAGGAATAAACCAATGTGGGAGCTGTAGCTAACTGGTAGAGTGCCTGACTAGCTGTGCAAGGCCATGGGTCCATGGGTTCAATCCGAAGCAACGCACACATGCACACACACCATGCACACACACAAGAAATAAACCAATATGATATGTAGTCTTTTCCATATTGTAAGTATACTATTCTACAATTACAGACTGCCAATATTGACACTACGTAATTTTTAAGAACTAAGTTTTATGTTTTAACTTCTAAACAAATTTCCAAATTTGTTATTCCTAAATACCAGGTTGGTTGTTATTTCCCAATAATCCACAGCTATGCCACTTCATATATCAGATATTTATATTCAGGTCTTCCTTTAAATTCTCCATAGATAATCTTATCCATTTTCCACACCACTAGCTTATATCTGACTCCTTCTTTAAATTAAAAGACCTAGCATAAGACCTGGAATATTTCAAGTCCACAATGTGTACTAAACTCTTTATATTCTACCTTTCTTTATGAATATGCTGACAAAACAACATGTACAAGAAAGGCAAAGCTTCATCATTAGATACATATTATACACAACAAATGTTTGTTTACAGAATGACCAATAAGGTAATTGCCACTGCATTGAGAAATCATACTTTCCTTGGGAAAAGAATACATATCCATTTTTAAAATCTCCATTCAAGCACAAACTATTGTAAGCAAACAGTATAATATATGTATACATAAATTATCTGTTGAGAAATTAGTAAGTTATCTACTACCATTGTCATAAATAAGTGCATTCCTGGGTAAATGTAAACTCTCTCCATTCAAACAGATAGTTTTAGATAAGGCAGGGCTGCTGGAGTCAAAGGAAGTGGGGTCTAAAAAGTACTGATTCTTTCTCCTTATTCACCTGACTACAGAAAGGTAGCAATAGCCATAGCTTTAGAAGATTCTGAAGAGACCTCAAAATTTCAAATGCTAATAGGTAGATCATATAAAAAAACAAAGTATATAAACTTTAATCAAAAATGATGCTTCAGTTTTACCTGGAGTAGATTTAAAGGCCTGAGACTTGAAGTATTTTTTA